TTAGAACCCAGGCGTTGGGTTTCTTAGAACCCAGGCTCTGGGTTCCAAGGAACTTGGCATTGGGTTTAATGAACCCAGGCTCTCGGTTCCAAGGAACCCAGCTAGGTTCACTTGGGTTTGTTGCCTGGGCTTGGGTTTGTCAAACCCAGATCCCCTGGGTTCGTCGGACCCAGATCGTCGAGGTTCGACGAACCCATGCGTTGGGTTCAACAAACCCAACTAGGTTCGAAGGAACCCATCGCCTGGGTTTGACGATCCCAAGCTCTGGGTTCCTTCAAACTCGGTGCTGGGTTCGACTGAACCCAGGCACTAGGTTTTTCAACAAAAAAATAAATAAAACATTTTTGTGTGTTTGTGGGTGTTGTTTGATGATGATAATGATGAATTGATTGATGAAAAAGGAAAGGAAAAGGAAGGAGAAAGGGAACGAGGAACGCCCAGTTGGGTTTGAAGGAACCCATAGCTTGGGTTCGACGATCCCAGGCTCTAGGTTCAGGAAATGAAGAGGAAGGAGAAAGGGAACGAGGAAGGAGAAAGAATTTTTAAAATTTTTATTACCATGTCACTAGCTTTTGCCATGTTATCTTCCACGTGGATTAAAATTTTGACATGTTATCATCTTACCGTGAATTAACAGTACACATAGAGAGATTTTTAACGGAAAGACTAAGGTAAAAATGGTAAACAGTAGGGACCAAGTTAGGGATTTAGTCAAGGATTTTTTGAGTTAAGGGACTTAATTGGAGGTCCGTATAATAGTTGAGGGACCAAAAAGGGGGTTTAACCTTTCAAATATAGGTAAGGGATAATATATATTTGGTATTTAATTTAAAAAATTTTAGATATAACTTTTTAGAGTTGATATTTATCTGAATACTTAAACACCTAATATTTAACAATCTATACTTGATATTTAACGCAATAGATATCAAATAACTTATAAGTGTATACTTATAAACTTGTTAAATGATATTTTATTTAAAATTTTTTAAAATTAAAATTTAATAAACTATTATTTATTATAATATAAACTTAAATATAATTTAAAATAACAATAGAGAACTAAATTTTGGTTTTACATCCAAAAACTAAAATCTATGAATTATTAAAAAATTAAATTCAATTAAATAATTAATAATAAAAAATGAAAATAAATTAAATATTAAAATAAAAGTCTTTCAAAGAAGATGTCTAGGTTTTTGAGTTCATAATTCTCTAATCCTCTATCTCAATTTGTTAGAAAGGGATACTGGCCGATAGTATTGTATTTATTTTAATATTTTAATATCTATACTTTTAATTTACGATTCTTATTATGTTAAATTTAGATTTTGAAACTAAAAAATCACTTGTATAATAAACAAAGATCATGACTTAAAACTCATTAATAGAGAAGTAAAAAGAAAGCTAAAAAGAATAAAAAATTAAAATTATAAGTACTGATCATTGCCTAACAGTGCAAGGAAAGGGAAAAGTTGTCGATTATGTGTGTGATTTCTTTTATTTTTATTTTGAGAAATTA